TGATAACACGGTGGCAAAGATGATAACACTCCCAGAGAGACAGGTGCTTCTTCACAGGGGAAGAGGACTGTGCCAAGGTTTAAACAGGGTAAGTCCAGCCGCCAACCCAGAAAATGCTATTCATTCAAAGATGCTAGAAGTTTGAGGTCAAGAGAAGGAAAAAGAAAAAAAAAAACATCTGGGAGATGAAGCCATGCCGATACTTCATAGCTTTGGTTTTATGATGAAATAATTAAAATGGTAAAGTTGAAATAACCCCTAAAAAAAACAGCCTGGGGTGTCCCAGTTGTTGATTGACAGCCTCTCAGCACTGAACCCACCTTCCTTGGCCCTGCTTGTAATGGCGAAACTGAATCCCGTGGATATTTATCCTCTGCCAGGTGGCGCAAATGCTGAGCTTTGTCAGGCTGGGTGCTGCAGCGCACTACAGGAAGTGACTTCTCGTCCTGGTTCTGGTGTTTTCCTCCTTTCCTGTCCCTGCAGTATATGGGACACACTGTGGCGTTCACTTTGGCAAGTTCAGCAGTACCCTTATAGGTGGTTCTACAGTACAGTACCCCCGACCAGCAGCTTCCTGACAAATGGGCCAGTGTCCCCGCTGTACACCAAAGGGTGGCTCATAGCGAGTTTTATCAGCATCTCACTGAAATTCTCTGCTAGTCAGAGGGCTGAAGCCAAACCTCCTTCTAGAAAGCCTGAATCTCAATTCGGTAGAGAGAAGGCCCTCTTCTAAATTTGTTCCTTCCGTGGGTAGCCTGTCTCAGGCCTAGGCAGTAGCTGCTCCTTGCATCTGCTCTCCCTATAATCTTGGGTGATTTTTTAAACACCTCATAGAAACAAATCCTCTGTTACTAGTTAACAGTTCTTTATATTAAACTTTCCCTGTTCAAATTATTGGGTGATTTTTATGATCTTACTGGTCCTTGATTAATATACTAATATCCAATGAAACTATGTGTTTATTTCACCAAAAGCTCCATAGAAGAAATTTCATAGCAGCATTATTCATGAGAGCCAAACTCTCCAACATTAGGAAAGAGACAAACCATGGTATATTCATACAAGGGAATGCTATACAGTAATGAGATAAATAAACTACAAATACGCGGAACAACACTGATGAACTGTCAATGTTGAGTGAAAGAAGCAGAAAAAAAAGAAAATGTTCTGTATGATTTTGTTTACATAAAGTCTCCCCCAAAAGCAAAACTAATTTCTGGGGTTAGAAAGTAAGAAAAGCAGTTACTCCTGGAGGGGATTAGTGATTGGAAGCGGGGATGAGGGGCTTCTGGAGTGCTAGTAATATTCTGTTTCCTGGCAGAGTATTGGTTCCATGTCATTGTTTATGTAAGTTCATTGAGCAGTGAAATTTCAATGTTTACATTTTTAAAATTAGGCTGAAAATATTGCATATGGATCGAATTTATGAGGTGTGAATTATTTTACTCAAATAATGAAGTCGAGTTCATTCATTCATTTATTCAATGGAAACTATATGTACATATTACATACCAGTCACTATATATGATGTTAAAGATCTAGAGATGAATTAGTGATTCCTGGTTCCTGTCCACAAAAAGGCATAGTCTAGCGAGGGAGACTGACATGAAAACACTTAACTACAATGCAACATGATTCCTGGAATAGTTGAGGTATGACTGGAGTGCGGGAGATATAGAGGAGGGTGCCATGAATGGTGCATTGAAAAGCTACACACAGAAAGCTTTTGTGAGCATAAAGTTCCCCTGCTCACGCATCATATTGGTCAAGATGTCAAAGAAGCAGTTGGAAACTTTAAGACACAAGGGAGGTTGAGGCTGTACGTTTATATATATGTAAGACCACAGTTATGTATGGTAATGGTTGAAGTTATGGAGATGAGACCACCAATGGAGGTGTTCAGGGCAATAAAAGGAGGGACAAATAATGGAACTTTGGAAGGAGAATTCAGTGGGCAGAGGATACTGAATAAATAAGAGAAATAGAAGTAGAAAGAGAAACAGGAGACTCATGCAGAGGGACAGGAGAATGTCAGGAAGGTGGAGCTTTCATTGTCAAAAGCCACTGCAAGATCAAGTAAGATGAGACTGTGCTAAATCCTCGCTTGCTAGGTTCTTGGAAACTGCAACTTTAAGTGAAACGATCAATGTATAGTGAAACCAATTTTGCAATAGGCTAATTAATATAAGCAAGAATTAAGTTCACGAGAAAATGTTATCTGAAGACCTGCTATATGTGGTTTTGACGATTAAGGTCAGTAGGATTCTAAATGAGACTATTTTCAAAAATCTGGCTTTGATCAGAGAAAAAAGCAGAGACTATGAATATAGATTTCTCTTTAAAGATATTTGGTAGTGAAGTGAAGGAGAAAGAAAGATAAATCAGTTCGAGCATAATTTAGGGCTAAGAGGAAGGAAGAGACTAAGGGAAAATTGGGTTGCAGGTCTCAGAGCCAATAAGAGGGGAGGGGGGGTAAAAAAGTCTCTAAAAGTCAACTGTTTTATAAGCATCTCTCTTCAAAGTGTGGTCCACAGACCAGTAGCTTCAGCAGCCCTGAGAACTTGTTAGATGCAGAATCTCAGGGCAAACTGCAGGTGTAGTGAATCAGAACACATATTTAACGAGATTCCCAGGTGATCACAGATTGTAACTTGCACAGCAAGTGGTAAGATAGGCATTACTGTTCTCATCGTTACCTATGATGAGACTGAGGCTTAAAGAAGATGCTTGAGACAGCAATGCTGATTAGTAGTTGAGCCGAAATTCAATCCCAGAACTTCCTGAGTCCAATGTTCTTTCCAAGAGGTAGAAAAGTTAAGTTCAGAAGAATTGCTACTTTCATTCAATTCAGCAGAATTGTTTCAGATGCTAGAATGCCTCCAATGGTCAATCACAGTTCTGTAGCCTAGTGGCTCCAGCTCTTGCGTTTGTTAAGACAGCGTGGGAACTTCACTTCCCAGCAAGCCCCGCGATTTCCTAGCGCGCAACGCATGACGGGTACCCCGCCCTTCTCTCTCTGGAGGAGCCGCCCAGCGGAGGCGGCACGCGACCCAGCCTGACGTAAGGGCGCACGGCGTCCTGGGATATGTAGTCTGGCCCGGACTCGGACGCCCTCTCAGATGAATGGGGCCGGGTCTGACTGCGAACTACAGCTCCTCTGCCGGAGACCGCGGTGGCCCCGGGGAAGAGCTGCGCTCCAGGACAGTGGCGATGTTCTGTGCCGCGGCCGAGGAAGCAGCCCGGCTTCCTGGGGTCGCGGTATAGGCGGGCGCTTTCTCTGCGCGCTCGCTCCCCGTTCCCTGCACCGGCCATGCGCCCGTTCTTCGCGGTGGGCCTGGTTTTCGCAGGCTGCTGCAGTAACGTGATCTTTTTAGAGCTTCTGGCCAGGTGAGTGATCCCCACGGGCCGCACGGGTGTTCCGGGACTGCTCTGAGAAAGCCGGATGAGAGGTGTCTGTGCGCTGCTCCCCGGGCTGCTCCGCAACCCCCAGCGCGCAGGGTCGGCTGTGGGACAGCATGAGCCCGGGGTCGCCTCTGGGCTGCCCCGGACCCTGCCGAGTCGGCTGCTCCTTTATCCTGCGCACGGTCCTCCGTCCTTCCTGACGGTTTCACAGTACTCCTCGGAGGGGAACACTCGGGGAGTTGCTGTCGTCACCCCTTTTTTCACTCACTGGAGGATTAGAGCTGCGAGAATTCTCACGTGACTGGTCCCAGGTGGGCAGGGAGCCCTTGGCAGAAGCCAGGGTTCCTCCAGCGCTTTTCTCCATCCTGTTAATAACACCAGACGTTTGATTTGAGCAAAGCTTTTTGACTTATAAGGCAGTCTGAGTTTGTCCACGCTGCAAAGAAAGTTTCGTGTGTATTAAAGTAGCCCGCAGAACATTTGTTTTATTGTTACCCCTGAAGATGGTTATGAGTACTTTGTCCAAACATGACTCTGTGATGTAGTAGAACAGATTCTTATTTATGCATGAGGCCCGTCCGATTGACCTGAGAGAGAACTTCCAGCTTTAAGATGTTAGTCTTTAAATTGGGAAGCATGTGTTTTGAGGTGTAATCTTATAAATTAAGAATGGGGGATGAGGAGGGCGAAACAGATCAAGAGATGGCGAATGGAAGCTATAGATTTCAGGTGGTGAGCACACTGTATTATTACACACTGATGTCAGATTCTGATGTTGCACACTTGAAATATATAATGTTATAAACTAATGTTGCCTCAGAAAAAGAGCGGCTAGGGTACCTTACCAAAGGGAGACTAGGTGGGCTTTATTGAGGTGGCACGTAAATAATGTTGAGAAACAAAGTGCAGAGTTCAGTGGGCAGAAACCATTACAGAAAGGACAACAGGTGGACTGGAAAAGGCTCCAGACTTAAAATCTCAAAATTATGAATTTCAGTCCTGGCTCTGTCATATGCTGGCTGTGTGACCTTTTAACTCATTTAGCTTTTCTGAACGTCTTTCTTGCTGTAAAATACGGTCTATGGTGCTATCTATTCTATGTGTCTGAGTCAACATTTTGTCTCCATTGACCATCAAGACAATCTTGTGTACAAAATAAGTCAAGAATTATCATCTCTGTCTTACTGAAAATGAAACAGGTACTAAGAAGTCAGATAATCTTTTACTACTTGTAAGTTGCAGAGCCAGAACTGGAATCCAGGATATCTAAACTCATAGTCCAATACTTTTTCAGCCTCCCTGTTAATTTTGAACTTGAGCAGCCTATAGATCTTGGACCCCCAGTTCCTCATGTGGTGCCTACTAGAAATGTATTTTATTTTCTCGATACCATTGATTAAGTCATTCTGAACCAACCAGTTTATTTAAGGTTAAACTGTGTGGGGTTAATTTTTATAGTTCCAGAGCTTGAAATTTTGTTATGCAGAAAGTTGATGAAGCTCTGTCATTTGTCATTCTTGAGAGTAGGTGGCGAGGGATATGAAAATGAAAAAAATGTATCCTGCTGTAAGCTGGTACATTTCAAAGGAAGATTACTTTGGAAATTGAAAGCGATAAAATCAGACCAGCTATAGAAATACAAAGGTCAGAAAATGATAGAGTAATCTTTGTGTTGAATATGCTATTAAGTTAAATCTTACCAAAGGCTATATGACGTCAGTTATGCTAGCAACTGAATGTCTTCTTTACTAGTTTTGAGCCCTTGGCTAAATTTGTCTCGGGAGTTTTTTCTAAACAACAAAAAAAAGGCAGGTGATGGCTCTACCAGCCTCACGTGGTTTTGAAGGATTAAATGAGATTCATGTGCAAAGCTCGAAGCTTACTAATAGTCACCTTCCCCTACGTTTAAACAACTTTGTTTCAAGACAGAGATACCTTGTATGATGTGTTTGTTTACAGAATGTTTTTGGGAGTTATTAGAGCTCCTATTTAGAACAGTTTGGATAATTTGTAAATAACTCATCACTCATCTTTTTATGTAAGTCTGGATTTTTGCATACAGCAATGGATTTTCATAAAGCGGTGAGAAGTACATTTATTAATTTAATGAATGGCACACCAGACCGAATAGCAGCTTTCTTCCTGATTTGCTTGGGCAACTCACGACTTGTCATGTTACAGATCAATAAAATAAGAGCTGTTTGGACTATGTGGTCTTTAAAGTTCTTTGTAGTTTTGGCCTTCTCAGAATTTGTGACTTTATCTTGGAACGTCACAGCGGAAAGCTCATAAATTTTTACAGAGCAGGAAGGAACTGCTTTTTTTATGGCTTCCTTGGAACCATTGGGTGCCCTAATAAGTGACAAGTAGAACATTAAACATAAATAGAAATGCTAAAGTGACTTGCAGGGAGAAGTGAACATTTTTAACCATTTTTCCCAAATTGAAAAACAAATTTAGGTTTTTCTTTCTGATTTTCATACCTATAATTGGGACCTATAATAAAATATAAAGCACAATGCAATGTAAAGAACAGATGCAAACAATGAGTGAGCGCCTCGATCTCCCGGCTGAAGAAGCTTACATTCTTGGAAGCAAGATACGCATCAGCTCACTAACTAGGCAAGGTATTGTGTGTCTTACATGAGAACAATTTGAAACATTTTCTTTTTCCCATTTTATTTTTCAATCAAGTGCCTAATGCTGAATCAAATAGGAAAGTTTCCTAAATCTAGAATAGGAGGTACAAAAAGGCATAAACTGCCTGCCCAATTTTTCTTCAGAGCTGCTTTGTTCAAACCGGTTGCCCTCGAGTTCTAGTCTTTGCCTTTTTCCTCCCATGCCAGACACTGTGGGAAATGCTTTTCGGAGACTGGCTTATTTGCTCTACAATAAACCGCTGAGATAGGCAGTAATGCTATTCCCGTTTTAGTTTTAAAGCTAAAACCAGATGTAGATAAGGTAGTTAACTTCCACGTCACAGGGTAAGTGACAGAGCTGGGTCCTGTCTGTCATCCTGTACTTTTAACCTCTGTGGAGCACAGTGGTTCTCAATCCTGTGTCAGCACATAATAATGAGCTGCGTATCTTACACCCGCACAGCCATCCCAGCCCTTTCTCCAGACCCACACTGGTGGTTGGTTCTCTGTCTGCACATTAGAATCAAGTAGGAAGCTTTCAGAAGTACAGGTGCCAGGGCCCTACTGCAGACCAAGCCAGGGAGAACTCCCCAGGCACATGGATTTTAATGAGCGGCCTAGCCAGAGTTGAAAATCACTGTGCTAGGAACTATCTAGAGCTAAAGTTCCTCGTCCTGTCACTCATATTTAGGCTAACGGTTTTAATTAGCTCCTTGAATGAGGTAAATGTCTTACATGATTATTTATGGATTCCTGCAACGCATAGCCCTGTCCCTTGAACATAAGAACTGCTAGAAGAAGTCACTGAAATGAATATAAAGCAGTAGTTTTCAGGGACACCTTCACAGGCAGTAGAGCTTAAGGAGTAGCAGCCGTTCTGCTTCAGATGGTAAGCATAGCTCTTCAAGAATGGCTTATGCTTGGAATTTATATATTGTTTGTTTATTATGCCTGATGGGAGTATTTAAGAGTTTGTATACTTGGCACTGCTATTTAATATTAATACCACCAATGGAGAATGGAGTTGTTTTTAACAAATACCATTATATTTAATACCATAATACAGTTAAGTCCCTCTAGTCACTAGCTTTGGGTTAAGGTGAAGATACAGAATGCAAAGGCCATGTTTCGTAATATGGGAATATTGGTAATATGGGAAATCTGGACGCTTCAGAGAAACAAAGACAGCTGCTCACTTTGTACTCCTTCCAGTGATCGAACAGAGCCTAATGGAGGATAAACTCAAACCCACAAACCTTTTAAGTAATTTTCACGGACAGCCTCAAGAAGGATGTCAGAAGGTATTTTCTGCCTTGTCAGTTTGTTCTCAGCAGTCACTGTGGAAGATTCCCTATTCCTTACGTAGATCACTGCAGGGGTTCGATTGAATTTCATGAACATTTGTCGAGTGCCTAATATATTTGTGTTTAGGGCTGTGGAGACTAGTACACTAGAGCAATGTCCTCCATTGTTGCTTCTTAACCTCCCCCCGCCGACCACAGGCCCCGTCTTAGACATTTTGTTTGAATCATCCTCTCCTCCAGATACACTATATATGAGCTTACGTACAATATGTATATGTTTTTTGTACTTATAAATAATAAGATTCTCTTCCACCCCAGGATCCAATTTTTGCCCCCATGGAGGCGCTATCTAAGGTAATGTCCCTGTGTCACCAACACTGGGTACACCTCTTCGATTGACAGCAGTCTCAGATTCCTGGTCTGGAGGACATGTAAACATCCCAAGAGGCCCGAGCAGATTTCTCTCTGGGCTTTGCTTTCCGAGCCGACTGGGATCCTGAAGCCCTCTTGGTTGAGTGAGGTTCCCAGTAAGAGCATATGACCAACTTCCCACAGTTTACTAGGAAAGTATCAGAGCTCTAGGAAATGAGTGTATCAGTGATTCTTATGGCCTGGTACACTATGGAAGAGTGAAATAGTGCTGACAGGTATACTGCAAAATGTGTGTGACCCATAGGATATGAAAACAGAGGACAGTGAGCAATAGAAATCTATCCAGTTATTTTGACCTATCACTATAACAAGCCAGAGTGGCCTCATCTCAGTTTCCTGTGCCTCGTTTTTCATCTTGTTATTCATTACACAGGAAACATCCAGGATGCGGGAACATTGTGACTTTTGCACAATTTTTATTTATCGCTGTGGAAGGCTTTCTCTTTGAAGCAGACTTGGGAAGGAAGCAGCCTGCTATCCCAATAAGGTATGGCGCACCGAAGTCTCTTTTAGCCTTTGTTTTTAAAGTTAAGAGCTTTTCTCATACTTGTACAAAAGGAATATGAGACATCCTTTTATAAGATTTATATCAAAGATATGAGTAGCATAATAATTTTCTGAATTTAATACGTTGCGAAACTCCAGAGAGCCTGTATTTAGAATGAAATTCCTGCCATCACACTTAAAATAACTAAAATGGAGACAAAAAGGTCTATAAATGTGTGTCTGTGTATTGTATGGCCAGTTAAAAGCCTAGTGTGACCACCAATTTTTAAACCGTTATGTATGCTATCCTTATCAAATATGGTTAGAGTTGTATCATTATTCCTTTTAAAAAAACAAATGGCTTTGTTTATTCATTCGTTTTGTAGAATCCACATAAAGTGAAATCATATGCTATTTGTCTTTCTCTGACTTATTTGGTGAAATACTCTCTAGGTCCATCCATGTTATCACAATGTCAAGATTTTCTTATGGCTGAGAATATTCCATTGTGTGTATATATATATATATATACACCACATCTTATTTATCCATTCATCTGTCAGTGGGCACTTAGGTTGCTTCCACGTCTTGGCCATTGTAAATGCTGCAGTGAACATAGGGGGTGCATATATCTTTTCAAATTAGTACTCATAGAAACAGAACAAATTGATGGTTGCCAGATGGGATGGGGTGGAGGGGATGGGTGAAAAAGGGGGCGGGATTAAGACGTACAAATTGTCACGTGTCAAAACAGTCATGGGGATGTAAAATACAGCATAGGGAGTACAGTCAGTAATACGGTAGTAACTATGTATGGTGGCCACATGGGTGCTAGACTTATCAGGGCATCCCTTCGTAAGTTACATAAATGTCTAATCACCGTGTTGTACACCTGAAACTAATGTAATGTTAGATGTTAACTGTAATTGAAAAATTTTTTAAAGTTAAAAATGAATAGCTTTTGGAAATAGAGGTGATAGTTATACAACATTGTAGATGTACTGAATGACACCGAATTGTTCTGTAGCTTGCTATAGAAAATCTGGCTGAATTTTGTAATTAATATTGTATTTTAAAATTTCCCAATGCGATGCTAAATAGTCCGAATACCTTTTTGTTCGTTTCTATTGGCTTTAGTATCTGCATAAAACTTTTTGCTCCCAAGACCAGCATTTACATCCCAGTAAGAGCAGCGGCACTTTTTGATTCCTCTGACCCTTTCTCTCCTTCCCCCATCTCTTGCCATTCTGGCTGCCCTAAGCATAGTTCAGGAACATATTCTCTCTCTTACTAACTTTTATAATAGTATCCTAGCTGGCTGACCTCCTGCCTGTCACCTCATCCCTCCATGTCAACTCCCTACCTTTGTATCGTGGCACCCTTTCTCGCAAGCACTCAGGGGTCACCGTTAGGACGGAGGGAAGCCCAGAGTCCCTAACCTGCCCTTTGAGGCGCCCATGATCTTTGCCCTAACAGCCATACTCTCACGTGTGTCTCGTTTGTGCTGGCTTTTTATTTTCTGTCTGCGAAGCCGTAATCAAAATCTTGCTCATGTCACTCATCCCCATGAGTGATTTCTAGGCAGTGCTGTGTAGGCAGCAATGTGGAATATAGATGGAATTAATTATCCTGCAAGACCTTGATGAACCCACTTTCTCTCTAAATGGCATCTTTTCAAGACAGGGCTAAGAAAATTTGGTGAAGTCACCAGGTACCATATTATTTAGATGCTGTGAAACAGCTAACAGTTTTGCACGTGTGTGATGCTGTGCTCTGCATTCATGGGACAGCTCCTCAGACTTTCCAGACTGTGTTAGTCTAGCCCTGGCATGGCTGCCTATTAGGGCATATAGCTCCATACCTAACCAACAATGCAAAATAGATTCTTGTTAGGAAAGATAACTTGAGACTTGGTGCTGTCACATTCTTCAAGTGGGCAAAGACGAGGAAAGAGCGGGGAGCTGTGGACAAAGGTCAATATCTCCTGAAGAATATGGAACCACTTATTTGCCTTTTCCCTGCATTTCTTTAGCCATTTATTTCAAATACTACTTTTTCTCCTATTGAATGTATTAGGTTGAATCAAATGAAATTGCTGATGTTCTAAACCCTTTTCGACTTACAAAAATAAAATGGTAATTTTACATGGTTTAACCTGATATGTAGGAAGGGCATCTTAAGTATTTTCTAGTTCAAAATGGGGACATATGAATATAAAATTATTTAATTCATTCGTTCATAATTGTTCATTTCTTTGTATCCCTTTATATATCTTAAGGTATTAGGGTTACTGGATTTTTTTAGTTTTGTTTTGTTTTGTTTAAGAAGTATAAACTCAAACACATGGGCCCTGCTTTTAAATACGTTTAGTCAAGTTAAATGATGTCCTCATTGATTTGGAGGCCATGGGTTCAGAATGTGGGATAATTATTTACAACTAATAGGCTGAAAGTAACTCTTGACTTAACCAATCTTTTATTCAGAAATAGTGAAGATTAGTATAAACAAGTGTGTATAGTGGAAGTAGTTGCGAGAATTAACCATTTTCAGGTTCTTTAGAGGTATATGAAAATTATACAAAGAACTGATACAATAATAAAAAATGACCAATTCACTTTTTTTTTAAATTAAATTTATTGAGATAACATTGATTAATAACATTATATAAATTTCAGGTGTGCCACTTCATAATGGGACATCTATTATACTCTATTGTGTGTTCACCACCCAGAGTCTAGTCTCTCTCCAGCACCATGTGCTTGATCCCCTTTACCCTCTTCATGCTCTTTCTGTCCCCTCTGGTAACCCCCATTCTGTGGTCTGTGTTTATGAGTGTGTTTTTTCGCTTGCTTGTTCATTTGTTTTTTTTGCTTTATATCCCACATATGGGTGAAATTATACAGTTCTTTTGATGGAGATTGCATTAAATCTGTATATTGTTGTAGGTAATATGGCCATTTTAACTGGGTTCATTCTTCCAATCCATGAACACAGAATATCTTTCCATTCTTTTGTGTCGTCTTCAATTTCTTTCAACAATGTCTTACAGTTCTCAGTGTACAGTTCCTTCACCTCTTTTGTTAAGTGTATTCCTAGATATTTTATCTTTTTTGTTGCAGTCGTAAATGAGATTGTTTTCTATGTTTCTTTTTCTGATATTTTGTCATTAGTAGATAAGAATGCAGTGATTTTTGTATATTGATTTTGTACCTTGCAACTTTACTGTATTTGTTTGTTGTGTCTAATAATCTTTCAGTAGAGTCTTTAGTGTTTTCTGTATATAAAATCATGTCATCTGCAAAAAGTGGCAGCTTTACTTCTTCATCCCCACTTTGGATGCCTTTCATTTCATCCATAATTGCTCTGGCTAGGACTTATAGTACTGTGTTGGATAACAGTGGTAAGAATGGGCATCCTTGTCTTGTTCCTGACCTTGGAGAAAAACAAAGTTTTTCACCCTTGAATATAATATCAGCTGAGGGTTTGTCATATATGGCCTTTATTATGTTGAGGTACTTCTATACCGATTTTATTGAGCGTTTTAATCATAAATGGATGTTTTATGTTGTTAGATGCTTTTTCTGCTTCTTGATATGATCATATGATTTTTAATCTTTTATTTTGTTAATGTGGTGTATCACATTGGTTGATTCGTGAATGCTGAACCATCTTTACGTCCCTGGAATGAACCCCACTTGATTATGATGTATCGTATTTAATTTGCTAGTATTTTGTTGAGAATTTTTGCATCTGTGTTCATCAGAAGTATTGGCCTGTCATTTTTTGTGTGTCTTTGCCTGGTTTTGATATCAGGGTAATATTGGCCTGATAATGAGTTGGGAAATATTCCCTCCTCTTCAGTTTTTTGGAAGAGATTAAGAAGAATTGGTGTTAAATCTTTGAATGTTTGGCAGAATTTACCAAAGCCATCTGGTCCTGGAGTTTTGTTTTTTGGGGAGGTTTTTAACTACTATTTTAATTTCCTTACTAGTGATCAGTTTATTTAGGTTTTCCAGTTCTTCCTGGTTCAATCTAGGAAGGCTATATATTCCTAATAATTTGTCCATTTAAAAAAATTTTCCATTTATCGAATTTGGTGTTGTATAACCTTTCATAACATTCTCGTATAATTCTTTGTATTTCTGTGGTCTCTGTTCTAACTTCTCTTTCATTTCTGAATTTGAGTCTAGTTTTTTTTTCTTAGTCTAGCCAGAGGTTTGTAAATTTTGTTTAAATTTTCAAAGAACCAGCTCTTTCATTTTTTTTTCCCTATTGTCTTCTCTATTTCATTTATTTTCACTCTGGTTTTTATTTTTTTACTTCTTCATTTTTTTTTTTTTTTAAGTTTTTTCCTCTATTTCCTGAGATAAATTTTTTCAACTTTTGTTAGGCCTGCAATTCTCTAAACTTCCCTATTAGAACCACTTTTGCTGCCTCCCCCAAATTTTGATATGTTGAATTTTCATTTGTCCCTATGTATGTTTTGATCTCTGACTTCTTCTTTGACCCAATAGTTAGTTGTTCAGTAGCTATGTTTTAAATCAAATTAAATTCTTAAAATTATTCCTAGCTCCACTACTTCCCTTCCCTTTGGCAACCATCAGCTTGTTCTGAACATCTATGAGTTTGTTTCTCTTGTTTTTTTAGATTCCACATCGATATGAAATCATATGGTATTTGTCTTTCTCTCTCTGACTTATTTCACATAGTGTAATACCCTCCAGGCCCTCCATGCTATTGCAAATGGCAAGATTTTATCTTTTTATTGTTGAATAATATACCATTACATATATACACCACATCTTTTTTTATCCATTCATCTGTTGAAGGAGATCTAGGTTGCTTCTATAACTCGGCTATTACTGGTAATGCTACAATGAACACAGGGGTGCATAATCTTTATGAGAAAGTGATTTTGTTTACTGAGGATAAATAGGAGTGGAATTGCTGGATCACATGGCAGTTCTATTTTTAAGTTTATTGAAGAATCTCCTTACAATT